GTGTCCATATTGGTAGGAAATGTTGTATGTGCCCCAGCCTCGCATTCCACATTTCATTTCTCTTTTTTATAATAGCCCTGAATGCTGTCTATCCGCCTGTTATCGGTAAAAAGAGACGTGATGGCTGGATGGAAGGATGGATGAATTCTGAGAAATTAATTATTGAGGGCAACTAGCTCGGTCTCCTCTTCCTTTTATTCTGTCTACATCTATCGCTCTCCTCCTCTCCCCCTCTCCTCCTCTCCCCCTCTCCTTTGCTCTCTCTCTCTCTCTCGCCCTCTCTCTCGCTCTCTCTCTCTCTCTCTCTCTCTCTCTCTCTCTCTCTCTCCCCTTCTGTGCTTTGCTCTACATCTGTAATGGAGACCAGGGGTGCCTTTTACCAATTGTACGTGAGCTTGATAAATGTGTGTGTGTGTGTGTGTGTGTGTGTGTGTGTGTGTGTGTGTACACATAGCGGTAGCGCTTGCAATAGCGTGAATGTAGTGACACGCATAATCTTTTGCACATGGAATAATCACACACACGTAATGTTTTTAGCTTATTCATTGAATATCATTTATACATTTTATGAATACATGTTTTAATGGCTTTAGTCTGTTTTTATCTTGACAGGATTCCACCTAAAACACAACATATTAGCGGTCACATTGTGTTTGCGTGGCTATTGTAAGTATGGTCTTGTCCAGAAGGCAAACTAAATATCATTACATTTGCATATCATTATACAATAGACATTCATTCCACATTACTTGCACTTACCTGTTGCCTTCTGTTTCCCTAGGGATTCTGGGTAAAAGAGGTCCCCAGGGGCCCAGCACTCACACAGTTAAAGTTCCCAGTGCGGGGAAATGCTAGCGGGAGGGTAGTTTGTGTTTATTATTGATGGTTAGATAGATATAGCGGGGAATTCATTTGTATAAAGGGTTTTTGGTTGATGAAAATATTATTTATTTTATATATGTAATAGTTAGAATTATCTAGAGTTAAGTTTAACTTTACATAAATGTATTTAGTAGGTTATATACTTACCTCTGTTAAATGGTTCAGCCCAACTGTGGGATATAAAGGCCACAAGCCTTGCAGTGGTTGGGTCTTGTCCTGATTTATTGTTTATTGTTCACACTGTTCACATTATTGTTAAATAAACACATAGGCTATTTGGACTCGTTGTGCGACTCTTTGCTTCCTCACTGGAAAACGCCTTACACATATTCGGACCAGCCGACAACATCTCTCTCTCTCTCTCTCTCTCTCTCTCTCTCTCTCTCTCTCTCATGCGCTCTCACGCACATTTGAGTGTGCACGCATGTTACATGCTGTAAATGCACGTGTGTTTTTTTTTGCAAGCGCATATAATAAGGTGACCAGATTTCTGAAATTAAAAACAGGGACATTTGTAGTTTGGCGGTCCATATATCAACAAAATATCTTTTTGTTATTATTTCTGAAATAAAAAAAGGGGCCATATTTACATTTTGCCTATTCTTATCAGGGTAAAAACAGGGACATTTCCGGGGACAGGCCACCAGAAACGGGGACTGTCCCTGGAAAATGGGGACTGTCCCTGGAAAACGGGGACTGTCCCTGGAAAACGGGGACTGTCCCTGGAAAACGGGGACTGTCCCTGGAAAACGGGGACGTCTGGTCACCCTAGCATATAAGTACATGTGCCTTGTATGAGACATAAGAAAGGTTAGGGAGCAGACTCCAACATGGAATTGCTCTTCACTTACATAAACACACATATAAAGCATGCAGAGGCTAAGCCCATGACGATAAACATAGCATCTAAATCAGTTATCATTAGCCAATACAGTCATCCTATAGGTTTGTGTGTGTGTGTATGTGGAGCAGGCTCTATACTTCTATACCACTAAACCTGTAGTTCAAACGCAAATCTTGCAATTCTTGTTTTTGAACTTGCTGTAGATAATATCAATGTGTGCGTGTGGGTTATTGCGTGCCTGTGTGTGTGTATATGTGTGTGTGTGTGTGCTATTATGCCTGGCTGATTGCAGGCGTGTGAGGCATTTGCATAGCCTGGAGGACCCGAGGTATGGTGGTGTAGTTGGGGAACGTTGGGTCAGAGTTCACATGCAACACTCCCTTAACTCTTTCCCCCTCCTCTTCCTTCTCTACTGCCTTAATCTCCTTCTTTCTGTCTTTCTTACTTCTCTTTCTTTCTTTTTTCTTTCTTTTGTTCGTTCTTTCTTTCTTTCTTCCTTTCTTTCTTTCTTTCTTTCTTTCTTTCTTTCTTTCTTTCTTTCTTTCTTTCTTTCTTTCTTTCTTTCTTTTTTTCTTTCGCTTCTTGAATTGCAGAAACATCAACAGCGAGTAAAACATATATATTAATCTCTCACCAAAATGTAGGCTACCATCAGCTTGGGTAATGCTTGGTCTGTTTTGACACCCTAACCATGTACTTTAACCTAATAGTTACCACTTAATGTAATAGATACAACTTAACTTAATAGTTACAACTTAACCTAATTATAGTTACAACTTAACTTAATAGTTACAACTTAACCTAATTATAGTTACAACTTAACTTAATAGTTACAACTTAAACTGATTGTTAGAACTGAATAGTAACTGGAGTTCTAACTTCATAGTTAGAACTCCAGTTCAAGTAACTTAACAGTTGACTGGAGGAGGAACAACTGGAGTAGAGGGAGAGAAGAAAAGGGAGAGAAAAAAGTAAATAAAGAAAGGACCAACCAAGGGAACAAGCGTGAGGAGGAGGAGGAGGCGGAGGAGGAGGAGGAGGAGAGGACAGCATGGGGAGGAACAAAGAGGAGGACACAGGAAATGGGGAATGTGAGAAGGAAAGGAGCAGAAGGGAGTGAAAGATTGATGATTGTGGGTTTTTTCTCCAGTGTAGTTCTCAGAGGGTGGGGGACTAGAGACGCAAAGACAGTTAAACTCCATCTTGGACAACCTTGGTTTTTTTCACATTTACATCATTTCTTAATGTAATAAGTTATTAGTAATGAAATGCTGTCGTATGAATGTGGCGAAATAGGATGACTGCTTTTCACAAGAAACATACATTGCACAAACAGTGCCACAGAAATGAAAAAAAGGCTAGATGTTAAGAAATAGCGCAAACTGATTTTTACATTACACAGTGACGCAGACATGACATTTTTTTTTAAAATTAAGCCTAAGATCACTACACAAGTCAAAGACTTACCTGTCGTACAAGTTGAGAAAAATAAGTATGCTTATTTTATTGGATAACCAATGCATTAATGATAGGCCTAATGTGAAAATGTCTTAATCAGGCAGAAACTTCTAAATAATGTAATTCCAACTGTGACTTTCTTGACTTTACTATCTTTTAAATTGACAAACATCATATGTTTAATTCATGGCACAATTCAAACAGGATTAAAAAATGATTTGTCTCTCGCCGTTGACTACCGTACATATTTTTTCCGAAATAAGGTCCCATGGGGGACAGTGGAAGGTGAGGGACTTAGGCTCTCTATGGCTCTGACTCCGTCGTGAGGAATAATAACGAAGTAATACCACAAACAGTTTGCATTAATTAATGAATTTAAGATGACGCACGGATTAATGTTCCAACAAAGATATACAAATAAACTTCAATTAATCTTAACCTTACGAAGGGTCATCTCCACATAGCTATAGAGTAGATACATGGTAGCGAAAGTTGAATACATCGAAAGTGGTAGTCGTAGTTGCTGTTTTGCTTGATTTAGTGAATGAACGAATAACTGTGACACTAGCGAGTGCAATCAGTTTAACACTTTTACTGCAGAGCTTGGTCAAATTGCACTGTAGGCTGCGGGCTCACCTCGGATATTCCAACAAGCGCTTTCTTTCAAGCTCGTCGATATAGTATTCGAGCAGACGCTAGCCCCTCTGAAATCATTTCTTGCTGTTGTACATCTGCTAATGAGTTTTTGTAAGCGCTCTTTTTGCTTGACATAAGGGATGAGCCAGCGGTGGCAGGTTGGCCATGTATTTTATTTTGTAACAGTGTTAATGTGAAGCTGTCTGCCTGTCCACCACCACCAGCAGCAGCCGCAGCACCAGAGCGATTCATTTGACCTTTACCTCGCGAGGCTAAAAAGGTGGCTTGGAGGCTAATTTCACCCTTTTATCCTTAATTTGTCCCCGCACTCCTCTCCGTCCGTAGGGGTGAGTGAAATATAGGGCCGTGTGTCATATGCACCAGCCTTCCTCAACTGTCAGAAGAGTGGTCATTGACAGAGTGGACAATTTCAGCAGTGATTAGATGTAGCCGCCCACCCCCCCCCTTCTCCTGCCCTTCAGTCTACTTCATCCTCCTGCTCCCGCCACACACACACGCACACACACACACCTTTTATTTTTGGCCTTTTCTACATATCTATCTCTTTTATATCTCTTTGTTCCCTCCTCTTTACTGTATATTTCCTTGCCATACCCGCCTCAAACCTATTCCCCCTCTTTTTCTCGCCCCCCCCCCCCCCCCCCCCCCCCCTTTTATCGCCTATATGTCTTTCACTCCTTTTTCTCGCACCCTTTTCTCCTAAATGTCTTTGTAAAGAGGGACGGTGGCCTTTTAGCAGCAGGAGGAGCTAACAGCTTCTAACAGTTCCGCTGATAGCGGTCGCTAATGTCTCTGGGTTAATGGCAGCAGCCACCGTGGACCATAACCATGAACTAATAGCATGAATGACAGATAGCCTAATGCTTTCAAGCTCACATACCATATTGGGGGTGTGGGGGGGTGGGGGGGTGTGGGGGTGGGCTGGGGGTAGATAGATGCTCTCAGGGGTAAAACCAGAGATTCCAGTACCGCCCCCCATTATTGAATGTCAAACAAAAATGACCCAAGAAGGCCTGGATAGCCATTTTTCAAAGCCACAGACACACACACACACCACACACACACACACACACACACAAGAAAAATAAAAAAAAAGGCTACGCTAGTTAGCAAACCCAGAGTTTGCAATGTTTCCTACGATAGCTACACTAACACTACTGGTCCTGACTAGCTCAAACTGGTAGAGCTTGGCATTAACATCGCCAGGGTTAAGAGTTCGATTTCCACTAGGACCACCCATGCTAAAAATGTATGTACTCACAGTATTGTTAGACGCTTTGGATAAAAGTGTCCACCAGATGGCTTATAAATCTATGTTTCTGTAGCAATGTAAATCCAAAAAACAAGAAATAAAAGTAATGAAGAACAAGTGAGAGCAGAGAGGAGCTTCACAATTGGACATGTCAACAATCTCTGAGGCCTTGAAATGAAACACAAAAGCATTACTCCGTGTTTAAAGATGACACATCCTAAGTCAACAAATACTGCAATTTGAAACTGTAATTGGGGGCCTAGCAGTGAAGCTGCGAAGCACCCATTGTTTTTGTATTGTTTCCTATTATTGGGGGCCTAGGAGCGAAGCTGTGAAGCACCCATTGTTTTTGTAATGTTTCCTATTATTATCCTGCCATGGGAGTCTATGGCAGCCCATAGAACCCCATGGTAAAAAGTTGTGAAATTTGGCACACTGCAAATCTGAGGTCGCTAGCCCATGAGCTCTAGCGCCACCAAAGCATTTCAGGTCACGCAGATCGTGTGATTTCCACGAAGTTTGACACGTAGAATCTTCAGACCAAGCCGCACAAAAGTTATCATGTGGATTTTTCTATTTCGCTTCCGTTTGCCCGCAGCAGCCAATCAAACTCAGCGGCGACACCACCAAACACAGACTCATGACCCCTTCTTTGAGAGGCCCAATAATGTTGGTGACCTTTGACCTTTGGGGGGCGCTATAATTAGCAAAAATGCATTTTTGCTCATATCTTCATATTGCTTTGGACTTTGTCCTTAATTCCAGTGTTGACTGATACTCTCAGACATCCCAGTACATTTGCTAAAGGCCTGTGTGCGTTTGCATAAAAATCTGGCGGCCATTTTCATTTCTGTTAAAAATATGCGTATAAGTACAGAGGGCACATACTTTGACTGATTTACACGAAATTTGGTGGATATGGTTTTCAGACCATGCCTGGTTGATGGTTCAAGTTTCATGTCTGAACTTCAAACTGTTTTGCCGTAACAGCCAATCAAACTCAGCGGCGAAGTTGCCAAACAGGAAGTGGCCCAATATCTCTGCGATGCATTGATGTATCGACACGAAACTTGGTATATGGACTCATGACACCTTCCTGAGCTGGCATTAGCTTGCCTGCTTGGCTGCTATTCTGCTAGGCCCCCCCATTGCTGCATGCAGCTATATTCATGAATTGGTTACTAGAGTTAATTTATCGTGAAAAAATGCTAAATGAAGACACATTGCAAAATGTGTCTGATGCATTGCATTACATGTTGCAATACCCATCCCTAGATGGGTTTTCAAACCACAATCATGACAACAGTTTATTACAACAACCAAAAAAACAGATCAATAGCGATTTAAACACAAAATAAACATTACATTACAATTTTAAGTGGGCCAACAAGGATTGTCATACATTGCACACATTTTTAAACAATTTGTATTCTACTGGAAGGGTGCAATGCAACCGATCAAGCTCTACATCTGAGCATACTCGATGGGAGTGGGGATTGACCCACCTAGGACGTTGCACACAATGGGACATGGCAGTTAGCCATGGTTGTCTGTGGCCTGTAAACAAACTCATGAAGTGATTGCGCAAGACCATTCAGGCATTAGGCCTATACTACAGCATTTCAGAGATAAACTGGACTAGATTGCAGGCCACAGTCCAAAGACTGAGTAAGAGAAAGCGTTGAGTAGTACGGTTCCTCTCTATGACATTGGACACGCCACCTTACTCCTCCTAATGTAACTGCTAGTAAAAAGAATAAAAGTGGGAAAATGGCTATTCTGACACAGATGTCCTTCATTCAACAGCAGCTCTGTCGTGAAATTAATCTTGGCTGTAGTCTCATTATAACACTGGTGAAAATAATGACATTCATCGGCTATGGCGTTTAGATTTCACATTTACACGTAACCACCGTTATTCGATCGCTTTTATGATGGCCACAATAGATTAAATCATTACTCAGCAAAACCCATTAATATAATGAAAACCACCGTAAAATGTCTAATACGATAGTCTGGTTGCAATCAACGTGTTACATTCCCATAAAAAAAAAAAAAAAAACGAAGACAACAAAGACATTTAAATCTGCGTTTAGTTGTACAATCTGCAACACGGTAGGCCTCCAGATAACAGGAATATCACAACAGGATATTATCCATGGGGCTGAACACGATGCCCTTGAGCAGAGCCACTTATTAAGCCTTCAAAAACACCATGGTGGCAGACCCTGTTGTCCTGACACTGTTGACAAGGGCAAAGCTAGCATCGCAGTTCCTGGCGGACCAATAACCGGGTTACAGGGAGGGGGAGGGAGTGGGAGGGTGGTTGCTGGTTTGAGTGGGGTTTGGGGTGGCGGTGGGTGGTGGGTGGGTGGGTGGGGGGAGGGGCGGTCTCTGGGGAGTTAGGCGGTAATTACGGCGACATCCTGTCATCAGCAGATAGCATGTGCTCCTCTTTCTGCCGGCGCACCGGTTACCGAGCTAGCTTAATGGGGTAATTCCCATTCAGCGCGGGTGGTAGCGTTATGAGCGACGCGCCGCATCTACATTCGACGCGCGTCGCCTGTGGCCAATAACTCCTTCACTTGCCCCGCCATTAAACGACACTCTATCTTTGACAAGGATGTCTCCCCTTACCCACCCCCACCACTTTAATCACCCCTTTATTGTACCTTCTCTGTCGTCCACATCCCCGAATACCGACCTTAAATCATCATCATCTCTCTCTCTTCCCCCCCCTCTCTCTCTCTCTCTCTCTCTCTCTCTCTCTCTCTAGCTAGCTACTTCCTCACAGATGCTCATTTTCTGTTGTAGCAGAAAGTGAGCGTCTGTTCTGTGTTTGTCAGTATAAACCAGACCCTGTCCTCCTCCTCCCCAGTCACAGCCACAGCTCTGGTTCCCTAAGAGCTCACGGCTGGTGGCCGGCGGAGGCCATGCAACATGGATTGTGAAATGTTCAATTTAATTACCTTTTTCTTTCCCCCTTCGTCTTTATTTCCTGATAGGTTCATCGTTCTGCTACCTGTCAATAGACAGGTGTGTGTGTTGTCCCCGCCCCTCCCTGGCCTACCACCACCAAGCTTAACTTTTCATACTTTTCTTCTGTTGCTGGAATGAACATGTGTGGTTGTGCTTGTGTGTGTGTGTGTGTGTGTGTGTGTGTGTGTGTGCGTGCGCACGTTTGCATGTCACACTGTGTGACTTTGTACTTGTGTGTGTGTGTGTGTTTTGTGTGTGTTGTTGTCGACTTTGTATATGTGCATGTGTTTCTATGTGTATTTACTGATGTGCCTTGGTGTGTATGTGTGTGTGTGTGTTTCTGAAGAGTGGTTGTTCTGCATCCATTTTGGGAGGCAAAATGCGTCAGAGCGTGAAGGCTAGCTGTCGCTCCGAATTATGCTCAGAGGTTCAGGACGATGCACTGCACTGAAGTATGAGTCTATCTGTCATCTATCTATCTATCTATCTATCTATCTATCTATCTATCTATCTATCTGTCTGTCTGTCTGTCTGTCTGTCTGTCTTTCTGTCTGTCTATCTATCTATCTATCTATCTATCTATCTATCTATCTGTCTATCTGTCTGTATGTCTGTCTGTAGTTCCGAAACAATATGAAACACATGCACATGCACGCACGGACAGACACACAGAAAGACACAGACACACACACACACACACACACACACACACACACACACCGGCGCACCCACACACAAACCCACTCCGCAAAGGTTACTGAAGATCACCACAGCAGAGAGGAACTAAGAAACAGGAAGATTGAAGGCATGAAGATGGCAGCAACATCTGTTGTGTGTGTGTGTGTGTGTGTATGCATGGGGACGTGTGTGTGCATGTGTATGTGTGTGTGTGCATGTGTATGTGTGTGTGTGCATGTGTATGTGTGTGTGCATGTGTATGTGTGCCTCATGTTGGCTGAGGAAAAGGCTTCCAGTTAATGGAATACGTCATCAAGAGAGAGACAGAGGGAAAAAAGCTTTATCATTGCTGGACATTGAGAAAGCTTTTAGTATATACCTGCCTGGGGACTCACTTATGTCATTTAAAAGTAATACAATGTTCCCTATTTTGGCAGCGGCCCATTGAGTTATTTCAGTTTATTTATATATATATATATATATATATATATATATATATATATATATATATATATATTTGATTTGATTCTCTTTAAGAGAATCAAATCAAAAGGATTGCTGAAAATTACACTCATGGGGCAAAAGGTTTGAGGATACATTGTTGGTATCTGACTTCTGCTTCAACTAGTTTAACTAACTAGATCACAAGTGGATGTAACAAGTTAACTAGTGAACTGTTTGACTTGACTTGTAAACTTGTGTGATGAAATGTGTATGTAACCACTTAACTTATTCTATAGGACTAATTATATTTAAAGCTGCACTATGTGACTTGCTATTGCAGCTATTTACTCCATTAAAAACAATCTGACCTAGACAGTTTCTTATTAATCAAATGCGCCCATCCACGATTCAAGCCAAGGAATGTTTCTATTGTTTTAGTCGTATCTTGTCCCCCCCTAACTACAAATTAAAAGTCTTGTCTTGTCCCCCCCTAACTATAAATTAAAAGTCTGTATGCTTTCATTAATGCCACTTTAAGTTTTGCCTGCACTATATTAACTTACCAGGACTGTCTTGTAGTTGTTTTGGAACAAACTCTTTTAGGCTTTTCTCACTGCTGCAGTTTTTCGACAAATAACTGATTTGAGCATAGTAGTAGTAGTTAGTAGTAGTATTTCAGCTTTGAGCAAATTCTCTGGCACAAAACCTGTTTCATAATTAGGAAGTTGAAAAGTCCAAACATTGGAGAGGACATGAGAGAGGTGAGAATAAGTCCAGGTTTCACACTCTCAGATTGAAACATGGTTTCTCTGAGTTTTAGGACGCGTTACCACAAGATTGCACTTAGCAGCGGTATCACACCACACGGCTGGCACAACGCAA